TTCTACATTCGGCAGCTGGATAACTTTCGGTTCTAAGCGCATGCTGCCAAAATAACCGTGTTAGCACTCGGGAGAGGGGGCAGGTGGGACCTATGCTACCTCCTGAAAAAAGGGTGCAAAGAACCTGGGACTCAGGTAAAGCTTCCTGCCTAATCAATCTCCCTCTCTCTCTCTCTCTCTCTCTCTCTCTCACACACACACACACACACACTTGTCAATAGAGGGAAGGGAGAAGTTTCAAGGTCTGCCTTGGGATGGCAACAGTAAGAACCCCTCAGTGCTGCTCGGTGGTTTAAGGAAAGTCCCCCCTGACGCCTGTCACACAATGCCAGGTGTGTGTGATCTGGGCACTGGCCTCCCTGCACCGAGAGCTCGTTCCTGATGGGCCCGCTCCACAGGTGGTTTCTGCTTTCGACTCCGTGGGAGTCAAGACTTCCATCTGCATCACCTCTGGTGGAGGGGGCACTCCTGGCCCCACGGCAGGCAGGCCGGGCCACCCTCCCCCCAGGTGTCTGGAGCACCTTGAATGAGGCACCTGCCACACTCAGTGACTGGACAGAGAAGGTGACTGGAAGCTGGTTGGGTCATAGCAAGAAGTACCTCCCCTTTGGCCCTGGGTTTCGGCACCACTCAAAGTGCCTTCCCTGTTCCTCTAAGGCAGTGGTTCTCAACCTTGGCTGCACATTAGAATCACCTGGGAATCTTTTTAAAATCCTGATTTCTGGGCCTCATCCTCCAGAAATTCTGTTTCTTTGTTACTAATGTTGTGGCCCCACCCCATAACAAAGAAACAGAATTTCTGGAGGATAAAGCCCAGAAATCAGGATTTTAAAAAGATTCCCAGGTGGTTCTAATGTGCAGCCAAGGTTGAGAACCACTGCTCTAAGGGCCTCCTATTTCCCTGGCCACATGGTTTTAGGATCTCATTTGATGAGCAGGGGCTTCATTAAAGACCTGGTGAAAAGTCACACCTGGCTGACCCAGAGGCCCTTGCGGTCACCTGTGTAAGGGGTACAGTACCCTTTCTGATCTGGCATTGATCATTTTTTAGGGATCCCTGTGCATGTTGCAAGACATCAGCTGGTGAGGTTTAGAACACTGGGGTTTTAATAAAAGTTTTTAAAAATTAGTTTTTAACTTATCTCTTGGTATCTGAAGGTTTTTCCTCCTGGTTGTGATCAAAAGGAGGAAGCAGAAGCATCAGTCGGCTCCCTAGATGCGCCTGGCAACCCTATATTTCCCTCCTAGGTCACTTACCCACACATCTCCCCCAGAAAGTACCACACGAGACCTAGAAGTAGTCTGAAGGAGAGAGGAAAGCCGGCATGGCCTAAGGGTGGGGCGGTGAGAGGGATTCCAACCTGGCACACTGGACTCCACTGGAAGAGAAAACCGGTCCGATTGGCCCATGTCTCTGGCCACTGGACATACCCAGGTTCTGGCTGGCTGGTGGGAGCTCTGGGCACAGTGATCAGTTGCTCCCACTAGTCACAAAGTTGAGATAATCCTTTCCGTCTGGCTGGGTCCCAAGCTCTGCCCACATTTGTGATTGTTCAGACTGAGGGCTCTGCCATGAGGAACTTGTGTGTGTAAGCTGGCAGTTGTCTGGGCTCCACACCAAGGGGAGTGCCGATGCCAGCTTCTTACCCAGGAGCACGGCATAGGCGCCTGGTAGGGAGGGAAATGGATTTATTCCTGTCGAAAATGGCACTAGGGTTAAAACATGGGGCTAGTTGCCCACGAAGTATGATCAGAATCAGGGGTATGTTAGTTCTTCTATAACTTGAACATGCCACTTGGATTTTGGAAATAAACAGTGTATTTCCGGCCGTTACTGAGAAGCAGGTACAATTGATTGAGGTCAATCATTAACTCAGCTTGGACAGCTTTGGAGCAAGGTCGTTTCTACAGTTACGGGATCCCCTGCAGCCTAAACTGTGTTCTCCACACTTCATTTCCAGTCCATGAGAAAATACCAGGGGCCGGGCATGACCCTCACAGTGGGCTGTGCTTGGGGATAGAAGAGAAATGTTTAGTGCTTGAAATTGGAGTCACTTTTATCAAGTTATCACATTAGCAGAGACAGTCCCCAAATATTCACCAGATGGTGTAGGATGTCGTCGCACATACTTGCTGAGCCCTGGGCATTGATGTCCTATGCCTGGGAAAGACCAGTGAAAACCCAACCCAACCCCCCCATTCTGAGGGGGAAACAGCACACGGAGTACCTTCCCGAGGGCTGGGTGAGAGCTACAGGTGCTCCATGTGAAGGAACCCACTGGTGGTTTTTCCCATGCTCTGTGTTTGGTGTTTGGTGGCTCCTGGACGCCAAAAGGATCAACTGGGCTGGATCCCAGGTGCGCTGTGGACCGGCAGTTACAGGATTCTAGGAGGGGAATGCAGGGCTCCAGCGTGCAAGGTGGCACAGTGAGGGCACTGTGTGTATTGAGACAAAGGTCAGAGTGAGTCAGTCCATGGGCAATTGGGTTTAAGATCAAAGACAATTTGAGCCCGTGGACTCCCCTAGATGCAGGCAGACGGCTTCAGCTGTGGAGAGTGGGGTGCCAAGGTTCTCTCTCGTCCCCTCGCTGATTCCACTTCAGATCAAAAAAACAGGTCAGCTTCCCCCAAGGGATCCAAGCAGAGTGAGTGGCCAGGCCCCTGTTGCCATGGCTCAGAGGCCCCTGAATGCCCTCTTTGTCTGGCTCCTTACAGCCAGGCATGGTTCAGGGGTCCGGGAGGAAAAGCTGAAATGTGAGAGGCCGAGCTTTTGTGCTTTAGGTTTATTTTGGGATAATGATAAAGGACATGAATCCCAAGGGATCCTAATAAAGCCAGGCCGTGTTCGATGTCTGAATGGGAGCCCAGAACAGCTCCCAGGGAACATTTCCAGGCGGGTGGTAGAGAAGGTGAGGAGGGAGAGGAGACACAGAGCACCGGACAGGACAGGACACGGGTCCCACAGCTCGGCCAGGATGACGAGGGGAACCCCCAGACGACCACCACAGACGGGGCGTCCTGTGTGGGCACGAGTGGGAGAGGGGGGCTGCTCGCCCTGGAGTTCCTGATGGGGAGGGAGTGGAGAAAATACAGAGGATACGGTGTTCTTCCCGTTGAAGACATTGGAGGTCATTTACAAAGTCCGAATGTCTGTTTTGAACAGGGAGTGCAGGGTGGCTAAAATGAGTGGTACACTTTCAAGTGTGCAGCCCTAAGGCCTCACAGCCTGCAGTCATGCCTGTTCCCATCACAGCCAACATCTCTGTGAAGTTATAGAAGTCACTACCAATCTGTGTCGGCTGATTTGACGTGGTTTGATGTGTGCACACTGGCCCCAGACACAGTCCCTGTCACTGGTCTTCTGTGGTCTACTTCTTACAAACACACAGGTCCCCTTTGTACAATGAGGGCAGAATGCTCTCCACCCTGTCCTGTCCTCTGGGGTGGGAAGCTTCCATTTGGGGGGACACGTCCAACCCCGAGGGGTGACCCATCTCAGCTCTGTGGCACTTGGGACCCTCCTGGGCCTTGACCTGTGTATCTTCATCTGGCCAGTCACCTCTATTGTTTAAAAAATTGGTAAACGTGTTTCCTTGAATTCTGTGAGTCACTCTAGCAAAGTAATTGAATCTGAGGAAGGGGTCGTGGGACTCCCCAATTTGTTGCCAAACCAGGCAGAAGTTGTGGGTAACCTGGGGACACAAGACTTAGAATTGGCCCTGACCGGTTTGGCTCAGTGGATAGAGCGTTGGCCTGCAGACTCAAGGGTCCAAGGTTCGATTCCAGTCAAGGGCATGTACCTTGGTTTCGGGCACATACCCAGTGGGGAGTGTGCAGGAGGCAGCTGATCGATGTTTCTAACTCTCTATCCCTCTCCCTTCCTCTCTGTAAAAATCAATAAAATATATTTAAAAAACAAAAGACTTAGAATTGGCCTCTGAAGTGGAGGCCGTCCTATGGGACTGAGCCCTTAACCAGTGGGATCTGTCTCTGTGTAGACAGTGTTAGAACTGAGTTAAATGGTAGGGCTCCCGGCTGGTGTCAGAATTGCTTGTTAAGGGGAAAACCTCGACATATTTGGGGACCAGAAGTGGCAGGAGTGAAGTGTTCTGTGTGAAAGTTAAGGAGACATGGAAGAAAGACCCACACAGGCTGGAAGAACTGGGGGTTTTCCTACTCAGGACACTGGACTGGCTTCTGATTCACATTCAGAATGGCCAGAGGCCTCGGCCTTCCAACATGCTCTCACCTGTCTTTTCACGTGTGCATAGAACTTACAACTGGTAAAAATCTGTTGCAACAAATTAAAGAGCCTTTTCCATTTGAGGTGATGAGAAAGCCTGTGTCACTACCTGATGGGCCTTCAAGTTTGTTCTCGGCCGGAGTGAGCCAGCCCAGGGGCGGCTCATCAATGAAGCCCTTGGCCCTCGGTCCAGGGCTGGCTCCCCAGTCCCAGGTGAGGCGTGAATTGGGCTTGGAGGCCTCAACCCTCCTACCCCTAAGCTGCCCTCACTTTAACTTTTAGAAAATATTGTGCATGCTTTGATGAGATGGTCACAAGAGGCTCGGGGTGGTGGGGGAGTTTATTACATTCATGAGTCTTAGAGCCACGTGGGGCAGCACCAGGGTGGCCAGGAGGCAGAAGACAGGGGCGAGGGGAAGGTTTAGGTCATGCTTTTTGGAGTTTCCACATGAAAGGCAAGGCTGGGCAGGGTGAACAGTCAGGATTAGCTAGTTTGAATAATTTCGGGGTCTTTGGGCTGTAGCAGCGGTTCCAAGATGCCTGGCACCTGGCCCCGCGATGGGAGGACTGCTGCCTCCTGGGTCTGGGGCCAAGTGGAGCAGGTCTGGCTCTGGACTGGTCAGTTTGCAGATCACAGGCATGCCATTCCGCCCGGCCCTTTGCTGCCTCGAAGAATTGGCGGTCTCTCCCCAGCCAGAAAGGCCTTTTAAGATCATACTACAGTATCCAGAAAATAAAACATAAGCATATAAAAATATTAAATGCAAAGCCTGTATTCATGCAGCTAGGAACACGGACGAACTTCAGCTTTGCACAACGTCAATGGGAAAGGCACCAGCCGCCAGACTGGAGTGGGGCTCCGCGCCTGGGGAGGGCGCCCTACTCTGGAGTCTGACCTGTGCTTGCAGACAGAGGAGGGCGCTGTGCTGTCCACTCCGGAGCCGGGGACGTGTGGCCACTGAAACGTAAAGTCAAGCGACATCAAGCATTTAGTTCCTTGGTGTCACTGGCCGTCTCACTATCGTCTTGGGTGGAGGGACACCAACCACGTCCGTCATTGCAGGTCGTACCGGGCAGCGTTCCGCGGGCTGATTTCTCCATGGTCCGCAGGACGCCGCGCGGGGCTTTTGGGATTTGTGTTTGTCAGGTTGTGTCTTCATGGCCGGCTGTGCGTCCTCTTTGCAGGAACAATGCATTAGGGATGCCGCCCTTTCCTCATGGGTGATGCCCTGCTCACCGCCAACTCCACGCCCAGCTCCGGCCACCAAGATGGCCGCCGCACGAGGCCCCGCCTAG